CCCCTACCATTGTAGAAATCTCTTTTAGTGGACCTAAACCTACGTTCTCGCCCTGTTCTGTGGCTGCCGCTTGCGTCGAGCCTCCCCGTTGATTTCCTAATCTGACATCGGACTGCAAGCCTATCGCTACTACATCTCATTGACACAAGAATGTGGATGACAGATTTATACGAGAAGAAATTCGCCGTCTTCTTTCTGAGGGCATAATTGAGCATTCATTATCCCCTTGGTGAGCCCAAGTTTTGGTGGTAGCCAATGAAAACCACAAAAAACGGATGGTTGTCGATTATAGTCAAACGGTCAACAGATACACACTTCTAGATGCCTACCCCTCTCCCAGAATATACGAAATGATTGAACGTATTGCAAACTACGACACATCTAGCACTCTTGATCTCAAGAGCGCCTATCACCAGATACCCATGTGGGTAGAGGAAAGACCGTACACTGCCTTTGCAGCTTGTGGACGTTTATATCAATAATGTCGTACCCCGTTTGGTGTGGCCAACTGGGTTGAGTGCTGTTAACGGACCATCTACGACATAATTGCACGCGAGTGTCTAAAGAATATTTTCGTCTACGTGGACAATAACACTAGTTGTGGGGACGGCTTAGCGGAGAATGATTCAACCCTTTAAAAATTCCTTAACGGGGCCGAAAAGTAGGAATTAACATTCAAGGAGGCCAAAAGTGTTGTCGCTTATAAAGAAAGCAAACTTCTTGGTTACGATGTATCCGAGGGCAACATAGGGCCGGATCCGGATCGTCTTGGGTCCTTGCGTGAAATGGCTCCTCCGCACGATTTTAAGTCTCAACAATGAGCTGTGGGACCGTTTGCATACTACTCACAATGGATATCTCACTTTTCAAATAAAGTTAATCTGCTCATCCATAACAAAATTTTTCCTTTACCAGTGAAGGTAATGGAAGCATTCGACGCTCTTAAGGAGGAATTTGCGAAAGCCACTGTGGCCACTATTCAGTACGATATCCCATTAGTTGTCGAGACCGATTCTTCAGACGTCGCAAGCGCTGCCATATTGAATCAGAATGGCCGACCACTAGCGTTTTTTTCACGTAGCCCTTCTCCAAATGAGCGATATCATTCAGCTATAGAGAAAGATGCATACGCCGTAGTGAAATCCCTAAGCAAATGGAACCACTTCGTCCTCTGTAATCACTCTTTTATCATCACGGACCAGCGTTCTGTTGCTTTATATTTGGCAATCAGCAAAAAGGGAAGGTCAAGAATGGTAAGATCGAACGCTGGAGGTTGGAGCTGTCACCATTCAAATTTGACACTGTCTACCGACTTGGTAAAGAAAATCGGGCGGCGGACACGCTTTCCCGTAATTGCTGTGGCGCCTTACTAACCAGTGTCGATCTGAAAGAACTACATGAGTCACTTTGTCATCCCGGTGTCTCTCGGCTTTCGCACTTTGTTCGAGCTCGGAATCTCCCCTTTTCGATGGAAGGTTCGCAATGCTGTCGTTAAATGTCAGGCCCGCTGTTTCTTTAAAGCACAAGGCCAACTCCTCAAAGCCACCCAGCCGTCCGAACAATTGTTAATCGACTTCAAAGGTCCTCTTCCGTCGGCAATTCACAACCGCTATCTGCTGACGACTATCGATGAATATTCTCGTTTCCCATTTGCGTTTGCCTGTCCTGATCAGACTGCCGGAACTGTCACTAAATGTTTGTGTCAACTCTTCTTCATATTCGGTACTCCTTCGTACTTACACACCGGCCGGAGATCGTCATTTATGTCAAACGAAGTTCAGCAATTCCTTCGCAGTAAGAGAGTGGCGACGAGCAGAACAACTCCGTACAATCCCCAAGGAAATGGGCAGGTCGAACGTTTGAATAAAGCTTTATGGAAGACTATGCTGTTTGCTTTAAAATCCCAAAATGTGTCCCTCACGCACTGGGAATCCGCCTTACTTGATGCTTTACACTCAATCGGATCACTTTTGTGTGCCGCCACTAATGCGCCAGCTCATGAAAGAATGTTTGTCTACAACAGGAAGTCAACTACTGGCACTACTCTCCCCATGCGGCTTACGTCTCCTGGAAGAGTTCTGCTGAAGGAGAACAGTCAATGGTCTAATTTTGATCCGCTCGTTGAGGAGGTTGAACTGCTCCAGTGTAACCCCCAATATGCTCATCTACGATTTACTAATGGCAGAGAAGAGACTGTACCTGTTCAACTGCTTGCTCCCAGCGGTTAAAAAAATGTTGATGATTATCATCAGGAGACGGCCACGCCGGTACCAAAAAATTCCATCCCATTTTCCCCTGACCATCCACCCATTACCGAGCAGGAAAGTAGCATCATTTAAACTGACGAACAGAATGATGCAAAACCTGTTAGTGCACCTAACGCTGACTATGTCTGTATGCATAGCCTAGAAACATTGATCCAACAACAACATATTCATCCATACCGCCTTAGTAAGAGAGACGCCTGAACTTTTCCACATGCTAACCTTTCCTTCCGATTTTTGACATCTCGATCTCTCCATTCGCCGGCCGGGTTGAATGTCATGCTAACATAAGCCCCTAGCTAAATTCCATCTTATCTACGACTTTTTATTTCTTTTTTTCCAGTACGTCAATTGTAAGATGAATAAAGCCCTATTATGGGGTATTCTCGTTCTGACTATTGCATCCGTATTTGTTCGTCCTCTCCGTCTCTTGTGATTGCTACGGTCATGGCTACAACATATTCCAGTTAGCTTTGCTTTCATTATATGTGCATATAATCGGACTCGACCATGACGGTCGGTATTGTAGAGTCCTGCGGCTTTTTACCAAATTAAAACAGCATCTGGTTTACGATTTTTTCTTTCGGTCAGAACCACATAGGGCGATTTCTATAATGACACATGACCTGCACTTAACCAGGTAATTGCGACTTCAGGAGAACAAAAAGTGAAGAGTGACTGATTTTCGCCTTAAAGGAAGTCGCATAAATAAAGTGCACAAATCCTGGTTTAATAGACCATTAGGATGGGGAAGAGTTCATCAGACGCCACCATTGCCTTGTCCAGAATTTATCATTAAGTCAGCATAGGGTTTCACCCTTAAGATTACGAGGAGACAGTGGATAACGGATTCACCGAGTTGCTGATGAGAAACTTTGAAGCATGGCAGGTCGCTTTACAGGCAAAATACCCGCCATCAACTCCACTCCCCATAATTCATTTTTATTGCCAAGTTAAGAACTGACTTCTTTTGGTCTTCTCGTTTGCGCTCTCTGTCCACATCTGCACATCGAAATTTTCCAGGTGGAGCAGGATTGATCTCACCAGAAAACCATTTGCCCCTGAATGTTTTGTTTTTACTGACTATTTAGTTGACTGACGCTTTCAGGTGCCGACCAGCGAGGGAGGCATCACAGTCTGTCGCCGCAGAGGTCTTGTGGGAACGTCGGCTTATTTACGCAAAGTCGATTAACGTTGGATCACCGCCAACACCTGAGCAAACAAACCACCGACCACGTCCACTGTTTGTCTAGACTGGCTACAGATTTGGTAATCTAAAGAGTTAAGTAAACCTTACGCGCAGTCACAATCGCGGGCAGACTGGCTCCGACAGTTCGGTCCAGTGATTCCCTCATGCGCCGATGTTCAGCCTCGGAAAGGGAAGACATGTGCCTGAAAACCGAAGAGGTCGTTCCCTTCTTTTTAGAAAAAGCTTGTGAAGGCAAACTAAAACTAGCACCATAAATTTAATCTACAGCGAGCAACGCAATTTGCGACCCACACTGCCAGCAAAACGATTCTCGGTCTTAAACTCCGATGACTGGGCAATCGGTCTGTTCCTACCGCGGTCTTTTAAACTCCGCCTTGTAAAAATAGTCTGTCAACCATTCATTCTGCATGGTTATCACATGATAAAATTAGACAGCCGTTTGGCAGGAAGTGGTAGACACCACACAGACGTGTGATGGAGGAGCTCCGTCGAATCCACTGGAAGGCATACCTGACTGAGGAGTATGAGTCTGAAAATGTGATCGGAGTGCCAATTTGAGGTTAGCCCTTCTTAAACCTGATAGTGAACCGCACGAAGATAGGTTGGATATGGGAATATGGACTCCCCGTATTACAGCTTGCCCTGCCCTAAAATTCGGCGGTCTTAGGGTTAAGCTTAGGGCTAGAGTCGGGACACGGGAATAGGCACCGCCTGAAAGTTAGCGTAAGATCCCCTGTAGTAAGGGGGTGCATATTATCCTATCGACGCGAAAAGTATTCCTAAACAGAACTAAGCTTATAAAATGAAAGGAAGTGTGAACTCGGAAGTGAAAGTTTTCCTGTCCCAACAAACCAAGACGGGCCAGATCAGGGTACGGCAGACGTTATTGGGGATGTGCGCTCATGACAAATTCCATATATATATAGGGGTGTGGCGGCACGCCTAGCCACAGACTTACGCCGCGCCAGTCACCTACGCCCAGTCCCGCCTCCGGCCTGTCTTGACACCGGACTTAGGTGGGTAGGTGAGAGGAGAGAGTGGTAGATGCGTCGAAAATCTACTACCGCCACAAATTTATTCACGCGCAAGTCATAGTCCGTGTGCTTATCCTGCTATGCAGCACATGGTGGACACCGTCAGAGTCGACCGTCGAGCTTCAACTACATCTGGCAATGCCATTATGAAGCCGATAGGGGGATGCCATTCACTCCACCCCCTGGACTTCCTCGGTCACCCGCGCCGTCAAACACCAGGATTGGCTTGACGACGACGAAGAAATCCGCAATCTCGCTAGGAAGAATACAATGCACAAGAAACAAATAAACTGTCGTAGCGCCGCGTACTTCAGATGACGTCGCCTGGTGCGACAACGACAGCGTGAGATGTAAAACGCCTAGACGAATCGCAAGGCCTAGGAATATATGGCCCCAGCATCAAAGGAACCGCGCCGATGCCCACCTCCGACGGTACAACGCTTCCAAAGGAGAAATCGCAGATTCTGAAACGCTGGGTCGGGCACTTCAGAAATGTACTCAACCGCCCATCTACGATCTCCGACTCCGCCAACGACCTGGACCTCTAGCCTTCCCGCCCAGAAACAATCAGAGTCCTGCAACAACTCTCCGGCGGAAAAGCATCGGGATCCAGTGCGATCCCGGCTGAAGTATACCATCATCGCGACCCCGACTGATGGACAAACCTACGACAATGTACCGGGATATGTGGACAAGTTCCTCGGGATTCCAAGGACGCGCCAATCGTCCATCATGCGAAACGGGAGTCGGCAAATCTTCAACAATTACGATGACATCTCCCTACTTAACAGTACAGAGAAAATCTTCGTTCGTGTCCCGTGCAATCGTCTGAAAACACACCTGGAAAAGGCTCCTCCCGGAAAGCCAGTGCAAATTCCGAAGGTAGCTCTGAATGTTCTATACGATTTTCGCGGCCCGAAAACTGAAGAAGTGTCAGGAGATGCGGAGCCACCTCTACACTGTCATCGTGGACCAGATGAAGACCCTGGGCACGGTCAATCGCGATGGACTCCGTAAATTAATGTCGAAATTAGGCTGTCCTGAACGATTCCGGCAGATGGTGCATCAGATCCACGACGGAATGATGGCGCACGTCCACGTCAGTAACCGCAGTCCTCGATGACTACACTCCTGATGGCACGATGGCACAGCCGGCGTCGTAGGTGTCCGCCACCACTATCATCCCCCCTGCCACAACTCCCCGGCGACTACTACTACTTACTTACTTGTACTTGATACGGTTGCGATCATGTCTGATATAGTCGGCCTCCATGAGGTCACGAAATGTATCTCTCCACGCGTGACGATCCGCGGCAGCAGACCTGGACAGCTCAATCCATTCTCTTCGCCAACGACGTAGACCGAATATCGAAGGGCCAAGGACCACCTCCATGTCTTGACGAACTGCGTCGAGCCAGGTTTTGAACTGACTCCCTCTTCGACGCCTCCAATGGGGCAACGGTGCCGGATCGAGGGCAGTAACACTGAGCTCCTGAGGTGGACGACGAAGAACATGCCCGAACCACCTCAGTCGTCTTTTTTGGATGGTCTGAATTATCCTTGCGATGTTGACGCAGCGAGCGCGGACTGTCTCATTTGCAACGAAGTCAGTGAACTTCGCTCGAAGGATGGTCCTCAAGTAGTAGTGGTCAAATACCTTCAGTTTTCGCTCGTCCTCCTCGCGCAAAGCCCAGCATTCACAAACGTAGAGAAGGACGGATCGGACAGATGCACGGTACATGCGAATCTTAGTGGCGATGGAGAGGTCACGTCGGATCCACAGGCATTGTCGAAGGCTTGATAAAACCCAGCGAGCAGCATCGATTTGGGAGACAATGTCGTCCTTACTCTGTCCATTAGGCAGCAGCCTCGCCCCGAGGTATTTAAAACTATCTACTTCTCCAAGTTGACAGCCCTCAATCCCGAGGGGTGTCTTCTCATGGTCAGGGATGCAGCTTGAAAACACTTTGGTCTTCCCAGCGTTTATGGATAAACCGACCGATTTAGCGATCTCGTTCACCCGTGACACCATAGACTTCAGATCACCACAACTTGACGCAAGTAAGGCGATATCATCGGTATAGTCGAGATCAGTCAGTCGATGTCCGGTGAAAACTCAACGCCCTCACTCTCGCCTACGGCCCCCCCCCCCCGAGGATCCAGTCAATAGCATAGTTGAACAGTATGCGTGACAGGATGCAACCCTACCGAACGCCAGACCGAATACCGAACGGTTCGGAAAGATTGTTGCGGACCAGGACTCTCGCAGTAGTGGAGCGATAATAGGCCTTGATCATGGCGATGATTTTTGCCAGTACGCCATCTAGCGCCATTATCCGCCACAGGGACTCACGATGAACGGAATCGAACGCGGCGGCAAAGTCAATGAAGCAGAAGGCCGTCGGTTGTTGGTAGTTATGGCAAAATTTGAAAATGCGCCTCACAGTGAATATCTGGTCTGCGCATCCACGTCCAGAACGAAATCCGGCTTGGTAGGGCCTCGTCCTTGAATCACGCACAGCCTGAAATCGCCTGAGTAGGACAATAACGAAGATCTTCGCAGCAACGTCGATGAAACTTATGCCCCAGTAGTTCTCGCATCTCGTCTTATCTCCCTTCTTGAGGATAGGTAAAAGGATGCCTAAGCTCCAGCCATCGGGAACAACCTCGTCTCCTACTACTACTACTACGGCTGCTGCTGCTACTACTACTACTACTAATACTACTACTACTACTAATACTACTACAACTACAACTACAACTACAACTACAACTACAACTACAACTACAACTACAACTACAACTACAACTACAACTACAACTACAACTACAACTACAACTACAACTACAACTACAACTACAACTACAACTACAACTACAACTACAACTACAACTACAACTACAACTACTACTACTACTACTACTACTACTACTACTACTACTACTACTACTACTACTACTACTACTACTACTACTACTTCAAGTAGGTCAACAGGCAGATGATCCTGGAATCGGGAGGGAATTAAAACGTAACGCACCACCACACCCGCCTCAACTGCCCACGCAAATGGGCCTATTCGGTCACATGCGTATCCATACAAACCTGCGATTAACCATCGCCAGTCAAACCTCACCACCACATATCTCGTGACTAGCACATACAAGTCACCGTTACTTCGCCCACCCTGCTGTCAGGCATACGGTGGCTATCGCCGGAAGCGTCGACCGAACTTGCTCCTACAGCTGGACACTCTTTTACCGTCATCAATATGAACTCCACCATCACTAATTGCATCGCTATCTCGCCTGCTCATAATTCAGCCCCATCCCGTCCTTATTGACTGCATACTTTTGCATTTCGAAGCAACCTGGTCGGGCTTTTGGAAGACCATCGGACTGTGACAGGCGCGCCACTGCCAGGAGCCCGAATATACACTCATCACATCCACTACATTTGCCCGCACTGCCCAAGGACATCCGGCCGTCGCATAGGCCTATTCGGTCATATGCGCTGCTATTCAAATCTTTCATAAAACCGAAGCTTAGCCTACTTGCCCAAAGACACGTCCTTATTTATCATATGAATCCCCTGCACACCACGCGACACACCCCATAATAATTATACCTCTTTCCGGAGGCAAGGATGTGATCCGCCTCGCCGTCGCCTTTATGGGCAGCACAATGTCTTATGTCAGAACGTGCTAATCTCACGTAAGTGGGAAGCATGTTCTTTGATGTACCGGATAGTTGGTAAGCACAGTCGACTGGTGCACGAAAGAGGGGAGAGTGGGGTTGATTCTGGGTATTGCATCTCCACGGGACTACAGTGAATTCTTAACTAAAACGAATTTGACGCGTTTATGCCTATCACGACACGCTAGGAGTCGTGGCTTGGACGGTTGACAACTGACAGGATAACTAGGTTTGCGTAGTCAGCACTGCGTGTGATGTGCGGCGACTGGCTCGAGGACTGAGAATCAGGTCCAATGGTTCCTTTTTAATGTGACCCCTATTGCACTAACTAGTGTGGGTTCAGATTCTTTCAAATTTTTGTGAAAATCCGATATATTGTGCGGGGACCAGGTCGTGTGTTGCACACGTAAGCGGGTTGTCTAACTTTGTCAGCCGTTGCGCCCGATCTTACCTCCAATCGTCTCGATATTGCTCTGACATCCGAGTCTGGTGGGCAAAGAGGGTGTGGAAGACGCTGCGCAGGTCCACTTCCCTATAAACTACTTCACGCGCAAGTCATCGGTGCTCCACCCATGCTCTGTGGCGCACGCGATGGACGCCGTCGCTTGCGATGGTCAGGCTCTTATCCGACGATACTAAGTAGGCTATCAACCGGAGGTTCGGGTCTAAGTTCGTTAACTCGCCATAGACCTTGGTGTCCTAACAAGTACTATTTTCCACCCCGAAGCATGCCCCTGATCTTCCAGTGATCGGAAGTAATCAGCTAATGATCTATATACACGAGCTCTACCCTTATAGGGCTGAGCATCATCCAATAATTAAGGGGCAAGACATTAAGGAGGTAAAGCCGACCTGATAAACATAAAGCGTGCGATCGTACACAAAGTAGTCACAGACGGGTCTGGCTGGATTTATACAAATAACATCCATCGTTTAGACGACTGGAGACTTAAGCGGAAATCAAGAACTCCCCACCGACTATACTGCCTGTCAGTGGAGCTTGTGCAAGGGTGGTGGGGATGAAATCAGCTTGACCAAATTAACAGTAGCTACCGGCATTACTTTTTCTGACAATGAGGTCCTACAATCCTATAGAACTGGTCGGACACTGATTACTAATTACGCCTAGATATTCTGAAATGCCACTCAGACTCCACTCGGTGGTTGACTAATAAGTAGCCGAAATGCATCCTCATGTGTGTAGCTAGAATCCTTTAATGACAATAAAGGGCAGGACTGTCTATTAACCAGTCGAGCGAAGTCGCCTAGACGCGGGACTCATCACACCGACGATCAGTCGAGACAGACAACTACTCCTCTTCATGCAAATTGGCTTCTGATGAATGCCTTATGCTGACGGAGGCGCTTAATGCACATTTCTAGGTAAAGCGCGCCTACGGATGCTTACTGAGCATCCGCATGTAGCCAGTCAGGGCTGACAGGCTGCCTGATCTGGAAAATTCCCATCGTCTCTATTCGAGACGCAAGTGTAACCTACTTCACTTCACAGTCGCTGCAGTTATCGTTACGGGTGCCGGTGGTAAGTGGCCATTCCTGTTAGAGCTGCAAACGGATTTCGATGCTCCGCCCAGCCACCAGAGACGCTATAAAATTGCAGTGGGAGGGCAGGATGTGAGCAACCAGAAAGTGGCGCGTGGTCATGCCGTCGGCTCACCGCGGTAATGCGGCTACCTCCAATAGCCAGCACCAAGTTTCTCAGCCGGAAGGCGTGGTCAACCGTCAGCGTGAAGTCCCACCTAGTCCACGCTATTGTCCATGCCCCCAAAGCCTAATTATACCGTCGCCATGCTAATTCCCAACTCAATCATATTCACATCTGCCAGATTCTTTTTCATTTGACATCACACTGGCCGTGCGTTCGCCACTCGGCCAACTCATACGTACAGACCTACTAGAGCGCACCTGTGCAGCACGGGATACCAGTCTCTACGTGTAGAAATGATCAGAATCAGCTCCTTTATAACAGACCAAGGCTCGGAACTCGTGACAACTAGACTTGCTAACACGGCGGAATATCACTGTGATCTTCAGCGGGAGGCTGCGACTTGCTGACCGATCCGCCGAGACGGTCTTCGGATTGCCGTTCCGTATCAGGGCTTTAGTTCGCATGTGGGCTAGCAACTTATGGCAAGACAATCAAACGAGCCTATGCAACAGGCGCCGACAACCGCGCCAGGGAATAAGCAACTCACCGTCCTCGAATGCTGGAAATGAGGAGACGCTTGAGGAGAAGCAACCAGCGACGGCCGAATGGTAAAAGGGCGTGTCGAACCCACAGCGACACCCCACGGGCATTAGACCTA